AACGTGATTCCTATAACACAAACAATATCTCAAAAACCAATACATGTCGATACCAATCGTTACTAAATATTCAGTTCTTAGCTATATAGCATTTCCGATTTATCATATATGATTTATTTTGCTAGCAAAAAGTTTTCAATTGCCTACAGGGTAACATGTAGTCGTACACCTCTTTGCAGACTAATTTGACTTTTGTTTTGTGGTGTATTTTTTCTCTGCTTCCCGGCATGGTCGCCATCGCACCAGGCAACAAAGCAATGCCGACTATTTAGTGATATGCCTTTGTTTCGAATGCGCTACAAGTCGTTGTCGTTGTCGTTGTCGTTGTCGCCATCCCCGACGCCGTCGCTTATTAACTTACCTGTTATTCGAGGCATTTCATTTTTCACACGCACATGCAGTCGCAGACGCCGAAGAACTGCGCTGCTAACTGGAAAATGAAAACGCACTTGCTTAGGATTAGTTTCAAGTCTCCAAACTCGATCTAGCCCTCTTTGTGACTCAACTCGACTCCTGAAGTTGTTGTTTTCGTTGTTAGTGCTATTATTATTTCGCTTGAAAGTAAACATGAATGGAAACACCGAAGAGGGTGATTTCCTTTTACTACGCTCTTAACTGGGCCTTTGGTAGACAGTGCTACCTGCCCATGGGCTGGACATTAGAATTGTGTTTTTTGATTTAATGCACTCACAATTTTGAACCAGTTTGTTTTTCTCTTTTATCTGGACCAGCATTTCCCATCTTTACGAACTCGCTACTGGCGGCTGCTGTAGCATTTTATTTATTTGTTTTATCCATATAATTAAAATGGCTTGACCTTATCCGCATTGGCTCACCATTAAAGCTCGATTAGCTGGCATGAGAAAAGTGATTTGGTTTTTTTAATGAACCGCCGACTATTGAATGGGATAATTTATCTGCCATCGATTCGTAATAATTTATAGCTATGAACTGTGCATTTTTGAATGAAATGGAATTTTTAAGAAATTGAGATACTAACTAATAACTAAATGAAGGACATTTGAATTCAATATATGCTCTTGGAACTGCTTATTAGTCGACAATGTCAAATAACATTTTAATAGCATAAGTCAAATATTTTTTTCGTGTTACCTAAATATAAAGTAGCTCATTTTGATATTCTCTTTATTGTATAACGCTTTAAAATTAAAGCTAATTATTCGATTAATAAATAAATTATCGAAAGTCACAAAGTTCAACATTTTTTAGAATAATGTATTCGAATCGAATGAGACCTTATCAGCTGTGCTAACGCTGCGACTTTTGATTACACAACAATAAATTTGCATCTGGCTGTGCCCCAAACGAAAATTAAGTGTTGCACACTCACATATACAAAGGCAGGAATATGCAATTCTGATTACCACAGGCTGTCTAGCTGGACAACAGCAGGCAACTAATACTACATATAAATGAAAATTGCATTTCTAAAGTTGCTAAAGTGGCAAACAAGTTTTCCCGTTTGCAGCTGCAGCGATCGCTTGAAAGGGGTTTGGCGTTGACTAGGGGTGGGGGCAGCTCCAAAATTTCACCTAGCTATTGCTATTGCAGTTGCCGCATAACTCAGGGCCTCCCTTTTTAGCTGTTGCTGCTGGTGCTACAGTGCACTACATGGGAGCGTAACTATTATTATTTTTTTATAATCATTAAGAAGCGGCTTCCGCCTCGGCAACGGAACAAAATACATATAAATTGACGCACGGGTCTCGCAAAAATATAAAGATGGGAAAAAACACAGACAAAAGACAGGCAACGGGAAAAGAGCAACAAATGCCTATGGCTAAAACAACACAGAGAAAGGGAGAGAATGCGCAACAAGAGAAAAACACAACAAACATAACAAAAAAGTGAATTGATTTTCATGTGTGTCGGAAAAATGTTTTGCTGCGGGAAATGCTTTGGATAATTGTGTAATGCTGTGGCCCCCAATACGCCAGCCCATACAAAGACATACATGCGTACATAAATACATACATATATACCTGCATACATATAGATAAATACATACATATATACATGCATACATGCATACATGCATACATGCATACATATGTACATACATTCATACATTCATGCATGGATGCATGCATATGTACATACATACATACACACATACAACACATAAGAGAAACGCCTCGTGACATCGGTGCCAATTGTTAAAGTTAGAGTTACAACAACCAAAACATTACCGTTGCCAACTGTCAACTGTCGGTTGCATGCGGAACGATTTATTATTGTTGCTGTGGGTGGAACAAAAATGAGGCACATAAAAAAGAAGAAAAAAAACAACAATACTAATTGAAAGAGCTCCAAGTACAAAACACCAAAAATATCCAGCTTATCGTAAAAGGAAAAACCGGGAGTCTAGGCACTCGACAACTGTTAAAAAAGAAAGAAATGCCGCACAGCAGCACCTTGGCTAAAATGGTAGGGAAAAAAAAAAAAAAATATATATATATATATATATAAATATATATATATATATATATATATATATATATATATATATATATATATATATATATATATATATATATATATATATATATATATATATATATATATATATATATATATACAAATTAGCCTTATTATTATATTAATAGAAATTGTATTTAGTTAACGGACTTGTGTTTAATTACATATGGATGTAACCCTAGACCCCATCAACAGCCTTTCTCCTATAGACCGATGCCGTTACTGCTGTTGTTGTTGTTTTAGTTGTTGTTGAAAGTTGCCAAATGAAGCGTGAAGCATTAGCTTGTAACATAAGATGACTTTTTGCAACAAATAATAATAATCATAACAATAAACGCGTCGCCCTGTCGCACAACTAGGCATCAACCCTGGCGCAGCTGCATTCCATAATTCCAATCAAATCAACTTTCGAATGATGGATTTTGTCTGCATCTTTCGATTATAATTTAGCAATTTTTTATTTTTCATTTGTCGTTTTTTTGCCATTACCTTATTAGCTTTAAAAATACAAAACCTGTTAGCCAACATCGAAATGATGGAAAAAAATGCTTAGCCGCCCAAATGTTGCTATCCACAATTTTCAAATGCAAAGTGAAAATGATTTGTAATTGAAAAGTGAGTTGAAAAACTCACATAATATGCCTCGACTCTTGTTATGTATAAATATATGTAAAAAAAATAACACGAAGGCGACAAATATATTTTTCAATATTTGTTTAGCAAGATAAAATAAGCAAAACGAAATCGCGAATTCGGAGCTATGCCTGAGAATAGAAGTGAACTTGCTGGCACCTGTACAGGTCCAATGGTACATCCAATCGAACAGGAGGAAAACCTAATATTAGCTTTTCTATCACTGGGAATTGTTGTTATATTTCTTTGCTGCTGTTACAGTTGCACCAAATAACATGATTAGTTCGCAGGCAAGACAGATGTACAAACTTTGCTACAATATAACAATTGTATAAGCTTGTAGCATGTCAAACCCTAGGAAACCAATGAGACGATGAGAAGATGAGACGAAGAGACAAGGAGCATTGACAAAACAATCGTCAGATTTTTCCACAACTTACCATGAAAATATCAAAGTTCCTCAAGTGCTGTTAATGTTATTTGTTGCTGAAGCGTCAGAAGTTTTTTTCATCGAGTTGGATTTTGTTGTGTGTGAGTATTTCATAAGCTAAAAATTAGAAATTCTACATCACTCGGTCTGTATTATTGTTTTCGCGCTCTACGTACGAAAAGAGATGAGTTAGAGAACGTATATACACAACATACGTACAAACACAGGTAAGCAGCAGCAGCAGCAATGAACCAAGTGAAACACAAACACGTTTTAGTTGCGCTAGCCTGTCTGTGTCTGTATGTGTTCCTGTATCTATGTGTGCGTGTGTATACGTGCCTGTGTGTGCGTACATTAGTGTCAGTGTGTGAGTCTGCGTGTATGTGTGTACATGTGTGCGCGCGATTAGAACTGTTGTTGTTCACCGTTTATGGCTGTTGCTGGCCATTGTTGTTGCTCTTGTAGATTTTTTAAAACTGGTATTAAGTTTGAGCAGACTATGTAATTTAAGAAGTGCCACATTTTGCTGTATATTTGCACATATTTGTATTAATATTCACTTAAAATTGACAGTTGTGATTTCAAACGTGTAAAGAGCAAACTGAAAATAATACGGAACTCTGTACACATCCACACAAACACACACACTCACGCCCTCATTCATCCATACATCCATACAAGCTCAAACTCACACACACACATAATCATTATATGAAAGCTGCGCGTTAATAACAATATTTCCATAGCACTCGTCAGCTTAATAATATTTAATATTTATATACATATAAGTAATTTATGTTTTATAATTAGAGTCACGCCAAAAACAAGCAACAATTGCCAATGCATGTATTGCAATGCATTGTAGTGTGCGTGTAACTGTGTAAAAGTCGAATAGACAAAAGTATAATTAAATTACAAACACACGCGCGCCATGCTTATGTTTCTTACATTCATATGCGAGGGCAAATTATTAAATAGTTGTGCAGCCACAATATCGAAAATGGATTCACTCTAATTTAAAAAATACTTTACAAACCGCACGAACGACAGCACCGACCGAACACTTCGACGACAAAACTGAAAATAACAAAGTCATTAACAGCATTCTGTTAACCGCTAGTATAACCGTTTGATTATATATATGTTCCACGATTGGGAAAACTCTGTTACTTTACTGTTAAGTGCGCAACATTGTATTCGCTGGTAATTTTAAGCTTGAGCACTTAAGCCGTCAGTATTAGGTGCTGGCTGCTATATAACTCGAGCGCTACATTTAAAATTCAATTTTAATTGTTTTTTATTAAATTAATATCAATAAGAAATACTTCGGAAAGCATAAGCATAATTCGAAATTTATTTTACTAACAGAGATTGCATGTTAATATCAATATTTTATATAGAACATAATATATATATGTATATATTTAATATATATATATCAATTCTTTAGCGCTCTTAAATCAGGATATAAGGCGCCCGCATTTATATAATGAGATTCTGAACGACGCAAATCACGCTTATGATCCACAACAACCGCTTCGCCAGTTTTCTTAACCAACTTTTTGGCCAGACCCTTGGGCGTTATATAGTTAACATTTTGGCTAATGATAAAGGCATTGCCCACCGTATCAAAAGTGCCGCAGGCCAAGTTTCCCGCTGAGGTGCCGTATCTGAGAGAGACAAACCTGAATATAAAAACCTTAAGAGATTATGCGAAAACTTACTTGTGCTCAATGATTTTAACGGAATTTTCGCTCAAGCTGTTCCCCAAAATCTTTGCCGACTTTTCAAAGCCATCGAACACTGTGGTAAAACCTTCCACTGCACCAGCCGCAATAGTCATTGCGCCTTCCATTGTGCTATCAGCATAACTGCTGTCATAGCCCAAGCTCTTTTGCAATAGCCTCGATCCCTGGCTCTGGACATGCGGCGCTAAGTATCCGCCGACTGCAACGGCAGCTGTGCCCACCTTACCGGCTATCCAACCCGTCAAGCCAGCCGCTGCCTGCGTCACCTTTTGTGCCACCTCCACGCCTGTCTGCACTGAGCTGGGCACATGAGTCTCTTCATCGGCTAGCGCTGGTTTCATCTTGGATATGAGATACGGCGTTGCTCTAAACATATATCCACCCGTTTTCTCGGCTCCCTTCACCAGATTGCGCGCTATGAAATCCGCTGCGCTGACAACGTGCTTAGACACCTGCTCAGAGGCAGTGGATGCAGCACGTTGGCTGCGCGGGGATTGCAGTTGCTGCACAGTATCCGCCAGCACTGCCTCGAGCAGATCTAACATGAATTGCTGTAGGTCCGCCATTTGCTCGTCCTCCGTCTCCCCGGCACTAGTGCTGAGTGGAGACTGTGGCTTGACCAACATTATGCCAAAAGCATTGCCTGACTGCTCGGCTTCCATGTCCGGAAAAATGAAGGCGCCATATTCGGTGCAATAACAATTGGTTACATTAGGAATAAGCGGATATAGCCAGACAGACATGCCCGCCTCCTTAATATCCACCTGCTGTTCCATATCGCACTGTATGAAATAGCTGGCGTTCAAATGTGCCCATTTGCCGGCCACGGTGCACATGATCAGCGACATTTTCGTGTTGCCTGTCAGCGTGGTCACCTGGCCGCAGGACTCAATCCTGTAGAGCTTCACTTGCGCTTGAAACAGCTCGTCCAGCTGCGCCTGTGAGTCATGACTCGCCAACAGCTCACGCAATCCGGTTGCCAGTTCCTGGTAGGTCCTCGGCTTCCCATTCGGATAGCCTATGTCATAGAAGGTATTCGGATTCTCAACGAGCAGAGGTCGCTTGCTCGTGGATGATCCATCTGGTTGCTCCTCTTCCTTCGGTTCTGTAGCGCTGACATCAATAGGCAACTGACTTATCCTCAAGACCTTTAATCGATAGCTCAGATCCATCTTGGTTGTCTTTAACTTTTGAATAATCACGCAAGCATCGTTCCATTGCTGCTGCACTGCATCGATCTCATCCGGCAGCCCGACTGGTAAGCTAAACGTTTCCTCAATCATCAGCAGCGCCTGCTCATGAGCAACGATTGCCTCCGCCACCGATTCCGATTCCTTACAGCTCGTAGCCACTTCCACCTGCCTCATGGCTGCTTCATAGGAGAGCTTAATTCTCTCATAAGCATCCAAGAATTCCGTTTCTGTAGACATGGCGCACAGAACCAGCAGAATATGTTGTATTTATCGATAGTGTTGAGTTGCAATCGACGCCGATTAAATTATTGCTTATCTACAGTGATCTCCCGTTATATAACTGAAGCAATAAAGAAATACAACGGTAACAATTTAACATATGCATCTGCAAAACATAAATGTAGTGTGTTATGTCCATACTAATTGTTTTTTTTTTTCAGTTATCAAGTTTTACATTTCTGGAGAACACTGTAACAATGTTTTTAACAATTTCGCGACTATGCTGGATGCTTTGCAAAAGATGAAATAATACTAAGCTACTAGGAATCTCAGTGCGTCACACGATGGCTGAATGCTTGATAATTCTATGACGTTCACAAATGACATTACACTTAAGCGGCGAGAATGATGACATCTGTACCTATCACACTTGTTGTACCCAACTTACTTTTACTCTTTTCGCGTTCGTGCTCGCACCTGAGTGCTTTCCAATAAGTGAGAGAGTTGGGATACTCTGCGAGCTTTGCTGTCAACAATTCATGAGCTAAAAATACTCAGGCACGTATTGTTTTCGAATTTTGTATTTTAATTAACAATTCTGCTGTTGCATACCTTATCTGTGTAGATTGCCATTGCTGCTGCTGCTTTTATTAATCACATCATTAAGGACGCATAATAAATTCAATAATATAAGGCGAATGTTTCGTTCAGTTGCGCTTTGGTTTCTGTTCCTGTTCTGATTACTGTAAGCGCCTTACACGTTCCAACATGCTGTACAGCAATCTGTCGTACGACAATGTCGTCATGTCGTCGTTACGTAGCGCATTCGGAGTCTTTGTAATGGACCCAAATAACTGACGGAACATTTCAAAATTGCATTTTTAAGCTAGGCAATAAACTTTAAGCTAAGCTTCTTTAAATATTTTCTAAGTTTAATTTCTCTTAGAAAATCTTCAGAAAAGGTATTTTAAATGTTTCCTTCCGATTTAAATTGAAAAGATGTCTTCTCAGCTGGACTTATCCCTAATTTTCAAAATTAATTTATTTATTCCTTTTCCCATATACCGCATCCGATAATTCAAATAATTTTCTCTCGTTTTTTATTTTATTAATTTAAAATACACATTTTTAAATGTTAAATTTTACAAATTTCGTTCGTTTTTGGATGATTGACACATCCTTCGAAGGACGATTTGGGGACTGGCGAAAGCAGGTGGCCATAATATATAATATATATTTATATATATGTGTACCTCACATATGTAACATATGAAAACGTTTTCATACTTTATAACGAAAATAATCTATTAGATTTTGATGAACAATTTGTGATTCAACATATCAAATTCTTATGAGACGCAGACTTCTACTTTATTTTTTTGCTTGGGTTTCCTTCCAAAGGCGCTCTCTTGCGAGAGCGGGAGACGAGTTTTAATTGAAATCACAATATATATACACACGTATATATGTAAAGTAATGCATATATAGACCTAGCACATCTCATTATATAGAACTGATGTATATTTTCTTATGACATTTGGAAATTTTCTCACAATTTTTGAGAAATAACGATAAAATGGTTTTCCGCTTTTCTTATACTTTTTAGTTAACACTTTGAATCTTCGAATTTAAGTATATGTTTTTAGAAATCCTAGTTTTTTTTGCTTTTTTTGTTTAATATATTTTCATTTAATGAGCTGCGCTGGAGCTTTTGAAAGTTGCAGCCCTTTTTCCACTTGGTTTTTTAGGTAGATGGTACACTAGCCAACTCCCGATAGGCATCCTGCAACGCCTGCTGCTGCTCGGGACTCAAAGTGCTGGCACAGGCCTGCATAACATCCGGATTGGATTCGATTTGCTTAACAATGGTTAGCATGCGGGTACCAGGTGCGCTCTTTGCTTCCAAAACGTTTCTGCAAAAGGAGTCTGCAATGATGGAAACGATGCGTGGCAGATTACAATTGTTTGCGCCCAAAATAGCTGGATGATTTCCCTCAATTAGATCGCAGAGATATCCATAAATGTGGACAGCTTCTTCGGGATCTTCAGAAATGGGTAGCCACGAGAACCAAACGGCTATTAGCTCATCCAAATTGGTCAATGCTGACTTATTGTATTTAAGTATTTTGGCAAATGCTGAAATAGCATTCTCCGTAGCATTTATATTCTCAATTTCGCGTGCCCGCGGATCATTGATCATCTGTACCAACAACGGAATGATCTGTGCACAGGTATGGGCAAACTGGTCTCCCCCAAATTGACCCAAAACGCCACAGCCATAGGCAGCGGCTTGGCGTACATCCGGCGATTTATCAAGCACATATTGGAGCAAGGCAGGTGTAAAGATTTGCTGATACGGTGTGCAAGCGGGTCCACAGAATTCTAGATGTAACATAGAAACAAAAACCAGTTAGACTCTTACATAAATAGTGAATATATATAACAATACCAATTAGATCATCGAATACGCATACGCCCCATTGACGATCGGCGAACGGACGATTGGGATCCAGAAGTTTGACGAAATGCGGTGCAACTTGGTCAAAGGCGGGCAGAAATTGCGCCTTGTTGGTTAGGAAGAGAGCGTGTATGATGTCCACCACCTTAGACAGTATATAGATATCGGTATCATCCTGTTCAGCTAGCTCTTCCTCAACGCCATCATCGTAATCTTCTTCATTGCGGGCGGCCAAACGCTTATCGGCGCGCTCAAAATGCTCGAGAACATATTTATTGATTATCTCGAGCACCTGCTTCATGGCTTCCTCATTAAGACAGTTAGGACCGAGAGTTTCAATGCACTTGGCCAGCGAATTGAGTAGTTCGGATTGTACATCAGGTTCCGGTTCCGTATTGATTACCTTAATCAATTCCGGGCAAATATAAAGCCACATGCCCTCCAAATAGTTAGGACCCTTAATTTTAGCGCAATCGAGCAAATAGGGCAATGATTCAGCAGCAGCTGAACGCACACCATCATGAAAATAGAACTTGAGCAGCGGCAACATTAGACGAAGGACCTCCTCAGCATATTCGGCAAAGCCCTCCTTCAATTCACGTGCATAACAAACGAGCATCTCGCAAGCAGAAGCTTTATCCTCCATTCCAGCAGTGCGTATCGCAAAATTTTGCTGTTCTCCTAGTGTAATAAACGACCATTCCACATCGCCTTCAATATCCTCCACCTCATCGTTATCCAGCAAGGCCACCTCTGGCTTCATGCCCGCGGTACGCATCACTGGACCCATAACGAGCGGCAAGTACTGCTCAAATTGTTTGCCCAATATCTTACACATGCGCGCCCACGCGGTTATCAAGTAAGATGTCTGCGGATCATCATCGGGCAAATCGCCTTCGGTATGGGTCTTTAACAGCATGTCCATAACTTCGCCGGCGTCTGCAATGAATTTCTCACGACCTACCGCGAGCCCAATAAGACTCACACACTCAATTGTTTTGCCACGCAGCATACGCAAATCCTCAGAGTTAGCATTCTGAATTATGAACTTGAGGCAGGGCATCAATCGGTCGTAATAAGCGACAAACTCATGCTCACACGTATCTGCCACTGATGCTATGGTGGTCACCACCTGCTCCAACACTAGTTTGTTGCCCTTTTCGACAAGCTCTTTAAACTTGGAATTCAGAATGTGCTCCAGCTTGGCCATGATGGCGTCCAGATAGCGTGTCAATATATTTTTGGGACAATCCTCACTAAAATTGACCAAAGCGGCGCCAGCATGAGCCTGCACCCGTGGATTTTGCTCATCTTCAAGCAACAAGAGCAAGCCAGGGACCACCTAGTTAGAGGTAAAATGCAATTAGTTTAAATATAAAATATTTCTAGTTGGTGTATCTTTCACCTGCTCATGGAACTTCTTCTCAAATGTGGGCGCGAAGTCTGTGGACATTTGTCCGATTGCATTGCAAGCAGCATAACGCACGCGTGGATGGGGATCCCGCAGATAGTTAAGCACACCAGACATAACCTGATCCAGTATGGTTTCCATTTGCTTATGACAGCCCTCGCCAATAGCGGATATTGCCATTAGAGCAGCAAAACGATGCTTCCAATCGGCATGATTTAACATGCCAGGTAAAGCGTTCATAACATGGGGCAAAACCATTTTACCACCCAAGCCGCATGCCAATCGATCCAGCGAAGATTCAGCAATAACATTATTATCACTATGATCATCTTCATTGACAACATCGGCCGTTGCCCAATCCTCATCCTCATCCAGATCCGTCATCATTTGCAGCACAAGCGGAATGAGTGCAACAATATATTTTTCTGCACGCTTTCGCACCATTGCGGGCGCATTTTCTGCCAGGGAAACCATCACCTCCAACACCAAATGACGCCAGCTATCTTCAAAGTCCTGCGAGCTAAACACCTTCATGCACATTTCAAATATGTACTCCAACTGTGGTCGCAGATACTTCGGACAATTCTCGGTCATATCAATAAGCAGCTTGAGCAAACTCTGGTCGTCCTGTCCTTCAATCGTTTCGCCCGTGATGACAATCATACGGGGCAGTAAGTCAGCAAAGTGCTTGTATATGGTTACCTCTTTTTCCTTATCATGATAGAGTATAAAGGCGCCAATGGCTCGGACAGCCTGTACACGTACTTCGGCGTCGCCAGTGTTCTCCATGCTCTTGGCCAGCATCTGCTTAATTAGATCAATGTATTGTGTCTCCTGATTACCAAAGATTGAGGGCACACTACTAAAGATGCGCAGTGCCGACTCCTGCAGCTGCGGTGTGGGTGAATTGGCGCATTGGAACAGAAATTGAAGAATATCCGGCCACTGATTGTTGCCATCCTCGTCGATTAAATTTCGTGCCACCTCGGCAATTACCTCGCAAATTTTGCGACGCAATTGCGGCGTCACATCCTGTTGCACGGCCATCAGAATCTGTTGCAACAGCTGATTTTGCGAGTCAATAGGTAGCTGCAAGATATTTCGTTTTTATTAAAGCAAAGCATTCCAGATTAATATTTGGTTATTCATTTAATTCAATTACCTCTTTGTAAAACTCCATAAAATCGGATGTGAAGAGACGACGCAGCAAAACGGCGGCCATTTGACGAGCTTCCTCAGATTGTTGGCCATTGTGAATGTTGCCCAGCAGGTGTGTTACCTTCAACTCGCGCGACAAATTGTTATACGCATCCTAGATGACAAAATATACGCAAAAAACATTCTCTGAATAACATAATCATAATGAGGATCTTTTTAATTTTTGCTGTAAATATTTAAATAATTTTAATTTGGTATTAAAAAAATAAGAATAAATATAATTAAATAATTATTAATATAAATAAAATTTAAATAAATTAAATATATAACACGTATACAAAAAAAATCGCCTTTTTGAAAATATTTAACAACTGAAATTAAGTGTTGCTACCTCTTAAATTTCTCTCTTTCAAGAAACATCTTTCTATGCAGTAATACCAGCAACTCATTATTTTGCATTTGCTGGATAAACTGTTAATTAACATTTTTTACATTATTACTCTTTCTCTGTGTTAATGCGTTTAAATCTCTGTTAACGAATTCCTCGACATAAATTCCTCAAAATAAAATAAACTTATTAGTTTACAAACAAGAAAATACCTGTTTCAGTTTATAGCAAATGAAAATACTCCGATCTGATTATTACATCAAATGATATGTAATAGTTTCGACCATCTGTTATCCTTGCAATTCAAGCTCTTTACATGTGCAATTTTTGCTTGTATATACATATATATATCTATGAATGTGTCCGTTGGGCATCGAACAGTTGCAGAACTAGGTAGCGTGTAGCGTGGGCGGCACCAAGGTCAACAGCTGTAATGCAGGTAGGCTGTCGGCTCTATCAGCAAGTGTTTAATTGAAACTAGCAACAATAACTGCAAATCAATTAGATTCTATTTCATACCATGCGTCATCTATAGCAATAACAAAAACTGATTTGCACCTGCGCTTTGTTTCCGTTTTGCATGCGTGTCTATGTACGAATTCATTTTAAGGCGCTGGCACCCCAAAAAAAAATGTCAAAAAAATACATATTATATATTATGGCTTCATACAAATTGTACAAATTGTCTTTTCGCTTTGCACACACACATACATACAAGCAGACAGCAACAGTCGCTGAAATGCGAACGACATGTGAATGTCGTAGCTAAAAGAGAGAGCAAAAACACGTTTTGTGCGCTTTTCAAATAGAATTCACAACGGCGATGATTCAGGAAAAGCCCAATATACCAAAATTTAGCCTGTAGAATTTGATAGATGATAAATACAAAGCAGCCGTCCAGTGTTGTTATCCTAAATATTGATCAGCGTACTAAATGCAACGCACATTTCAATATTGCGCAGTTATCTGAACAAATTTGCAGCTGGCGCTTTGTGGGCTTACCTCGGCCTGTTTCCGAACTTCATTGTCCATGGACAACAAGGAGTTGAGGAGCTGTTGGAACTGTGCCTGGTCTGCAGCCATTTCGATTTGTAGTTTTCGCACGATATTGAAAACACACAATTTTCACAATCTACACGCGACGAAGCCGCTTAGAAAAGAGGAGAACAATAAAAAGGCAATGCCGGGTTGCCAAAATCACAAAGTTTTTTATAGTGGGTGAGTCTTGTTGTTGCAAACACTACAATTAGACTTTTAACGGTGTTACATGGGTTGCGGTATGTGCAAAATTTATTTTCAACTTATGCGAAATTTTGATTCAATCTATTAATTTTTATAGCAGTTATTCTAACCAAGATGTTTAAAGCTGTGTCAATACTGGCAGCGAACAACGCTTGTAAAGGCGCTATCGATATTTTTGGGCGTGCAGAAGTTCTGCCAGGAAGCCACAGCTAATAAGAGATTGTCTTAGTTAGAAAATTAAAATTAATATAAATTATTTAATGAACAATTAATTTAACATGTTTTCAAATTAAAGTAGTTTCTGGAAGTATTTTCAACCATCAAAGCAGTTATCGATATCGGTAGCAACAGATAACTAATCATCAAATAAAGTTGGAGAAATGAACAATATTTAAATTTGACTTTTAAACCCGTATATTACAATAGCTTTATAAATTTTAATTTTTATAAAAAATCAGTTTGTCTTCTTGTTTCAAGATAGTTTTTTTTTTTAAACATGTGTCACAGTGTAATGTATTTCACCGATTTGAATGACAACCAGTGTTGGTCAACAAGCAAACAATGATTGTTGTGTATACAAAGTCGACGAAAAGAAAACAATAATCAAGTCCTCAAAACCAAAAGCAAATAATTGGGTTTCAATCAAAAAAAAAAAAAAATAAAATAATACAAACCAATAAATACTAAAAATAAAATGAGCACTCGACTCTGCGCTTATAGGGATTGCCATAGTTTCTATTATCGCCAGGATAACAGTGGCTGCAGCGAAGTGACGCTCTTCGCATTTCCTAAAGATCCGAAGCGTGCCGAGCAATGGCGTTTACTTGGCCAAGTGCATCCTAAAATTGGACCCAAGCAGTTATATATGTGCTCTAAGCATTTCGATACCAAATATTTATCATTAAATAAAAATCGTCGCATATTGTTGGGCGAAGCGCTGCCTTTTCCATTTGAAGATGTCAATAAAGCGGACAAAATGGCTGAGGAGACTCCAACAGAATTGACTGCGACATCTTCAACTGAACAGCAAAGCTATTACATAAATTCGTCCGGAAATAAAATTCAGTTTAACGAAGATAACCCTAGGGACATTTCATCATCCTCGCAACAAAGTTTTTATATTAACATGGACGATGATGATTTAAGCATAGACAAAGTTGTCATGGTGGAGTCAACGACAACGCAAGTCGCAGATCCAGGAGACGATATGTTTGAGAAAAGTACGGTGTAACTTAGTTATGTATATCGAATAATTAATTTTATTTTTTCAAATGCAGTTGAGGTCAACTACATGCCACCTAACCAAAAACGCCCACGTCCTGCTACACCAAAGGAGGTGGAGACGCTACTTCCGACTGATGATCAACTTATAGACACATCGGAGGTATCAATCTTCAAGTTCAAGGGCGAACAATATGTGCAAATGTCGAGGGAATATTATTTGCAGGAGAAACGCCAATTAATGGAACAATTGCGAAACTACCAGCGCACACTGTCCAACATTAAGCTGCAATTGATGCCATTAAAGGAACTGTGAAACGATCAAAAATTATATATATATAATTATATATATATTATATTTCTTAAGGAAAAACAAAATTCTTTGTGGTTTAATCATTTAATTCACAGACCTACTCCACATCGCTGTCCACATCGGAACAATCGCTTAGCTCATCTTCATCTCTATGATCCGCAATCTGTACGCCCAATTCGAGCCTTTTCCTCTCGAGCAATTCGGCCCAGCTTAGATGCGTTGCACACAACGGACATTTACCGTCAATCGGTATATACTGACCAGGCTGATCGTCCAGCAAATAGTTGGCCAGGCACAGCATGTGGCAGCTTAAGCAGCAACTGGCATTCAGACAACCGAAATGGGAATGTTTTGATTGATCTATGGGTTGCATGCACAGATGACACTCGGACGACCAGGCAACTGTAGCTGCAGTTCGTTTCGCATTTAAATGCCGCTGCGATGCCGTTATGGCCAATTTGCCGCTTACGATGTGCATATGTCGTGGCACTGGCATTTGAAAATCTCGCTGATATTCCGTCTCCAGCCAACGTATTGTAAGCGGTAATCGGTGCCAAGGACCTACTCCTAAGATTCGATTCACAATGCGAAAATTGTAATCAAAATTCGTTTCGCGGGGCAATTTCCGCTTTAAGTCGGCAAAGATTTTAAGTCGTGTTGATAATGTAGGCTGCTGCCATGCCCACTCGAATTGTAGCGCTACAATCTTGTTCGGAAAGCCATGCACAATCATCACCATTTGCCAGGGTCCCTTTTTGCTGGTCTTTTTAGCGCCACCAAAGTCGGTGCCACGATTATGCTGCTTAATGCGACGCTTGGGATTAACCGTGAAGCCTACATAACATTTGCCACGATATTTCAAGTCCGGACTCTGACTACACAGCAAATATACGCCATAGAAGTGACCCTTCTGTGCCAGAGCTTCGTTGGTGCCTGCAAGTTTCAAAGGTAGAATTAAGAATAGCATAGTAGTTCGACATAGCTAAACGAACATTTAAGGAGAGCGACAGGAAGCTAAGTTCTGAGAGATACAATGCCCAATCAAGTGAATATATGGCTATGCTTAGTTAAAACTATTTTCCTTAACATATAAGAATAACATATATAAAAATATGTATATAATACATATTAAAAAATATATATAATTAACCTAGCTGAAAACATACTGCTCCTATATGATGGGGGTTATATGTATAAGGTACGCTATTGAAGATCTATGTAAATAGTGCAACGTGGGAATATCATAGCCGTTATTTTAAAGGTGCTGCTTTTTACCAAATCAATGATTTTTTAATTATTAATTATTGTTGTTAAGACAGATCACAATATACAAATGATTATATTTACATATACTCTGCAATCTGGCAGGCAAAAATATGTTAATAATCATTTTAGTATAATTTATGTCATCTGGACAGATAGATGGGCTTATATATATTTTTATCTCGTTATTGTTATTCCTGAATTTTATCCTGGCTTTCTTTTGCGTCTCATCAACTTTTAGCCCCTTAGAATCTCACCCGCCACTTGGATTTCCACTCTTGTTGTAGTCTAATAATGCTTTCTTATGTTCTGCCTTAGTCTAATTTATTCAGGTTTTTTCTCGAGCTTAGCGTTCAGCTAATTTAATTCTAATTTCGGGGCTCCACTGCCAGCCAGTCCATTGATTTGTTGTTGTTGTTGATGTTGTGGCTGCGCATGCGCCACGGACATCTCCTGTCGTTGAGTGGGCGCAGAATCCCTTGCCCCCAGTGGCTGCTGTTGTGACTGCGAGGAAGAGCTGCTCCCATTCTGCAGTGTCGCCTGCTGCAGTGGATTAGTAGCCTCAGCGGCGGCAACTGATGCCGCTTCACTGGGCGCTAAGATGCCCCCATTGGTCTGATGTTGTTGCTGCTGTTGCATTTGTTGCTGTTGTGTAGCTGCAGCAACCGCTGCCGCATTCTCCTGCACGGAGTTGATCAGCTTGATGCGCTTGCGCGTATAATGCTGCCATTGTAGTATGGCCTGATCGTCGATAAACTTGCAACATTGATTGTTAACAATCTCGCGACGAAAGTGTTCGTACTGCAGAAGGTCCAGAAAGTATAAGCACATCGGATACATCAGATACTTGGCATAGTCGGGCTCCTTCCAGTACTGCAGATACTTTAGGTAGTTAATAAAGGATGGATCCTTAAAGTAACCACGTTGTGCAAGAACTGTAAAGGGAAGGGATTGTTGCATATAAAAAGAAGTTTTGAAAAGTTTATTCTACAAACTTATGTATCATATAACTAAATGAACTACCTTTAATATTAATTTTTTGATTTGTTGCACAAATAGGGTTCAAGATACTTTATATGTACTTTTTCAAAGTATTACCTATCCCAAATTTCAGCAATCTATTTGTTGAATTTTCGAATAGATATTTTAATATTCCTTGTTATATATTCTAGTTGTGTTCTTTTTAACTTACAGTTGAGATAATTGGGATTGGAAAGGCACTGTACAAACTCCAGCTCGATTTGCCAGCGACGTTTTTGTTGTTCCTCCGATTCGATGGCCGCTAAACAGTTACAGAAGCAAAATTTAATAACAGTTATTGTTAATCTTCCACTGAAATGTTTTTTGTTTTAAGTTATTTTCTTGTTGCTGCTATTATTTTGGAATAAATCAAAAGCGAAAGCATATGTGGAATATTTAAAGTTAAATGCAAAAAGGGTTTTCATTTCTTGTCTTTGTTGGCTTTACTTACTCTTACCCTTTCCGTACATTTTGGCCATTTTTTTAGCAGTTGTGGAAAGGGTTTCGTTGTTTTTGCGTTTTTTCAGTTTGTTTGTTTGCTAATTCTTCGGATGTTGTTTGTTGTTGTTTTTGTGCTTGGTGTTATTTCTCGTGTGCCTCAACAATTGTACATAACACAAAATCATAAATTACACATACAAATGTACATAGATTCGTTTGTGTGAGTGTGTGCGTGAGGTGGGCTTAAAAAGGATCATTAAAGCGAATACAAAACAGAATGAAATTGAACAGTACTTATAAACGCAAAATCAATTAACAAATTCTGTGTCGCTCCCTTAATATGTTGGATAATATTCGTTCTGTGGTAAGCAAATTAATTAAAATTTATTGTTTTTTCAGCTACAAACCGTAAGTGTTCATGACAGCGTGACCGAATTTGATAAACGCAAAAATACTGATTCCATATAAAAAATATACCAAAAATGTGTCTTACTTCAGCAAGAATAAAATAGCATGTACACAAATTTATTTTAATTTACTTTCATTTTTATTATTTACAGGCTGAGTAAGCCAAATATGCAAATGATAGATCTTATTTATAAACATAATTATTAACACCACAAAGCTAAACGCGCCATTAACATTGAACTTAAATAAATTGATGTAGTATGCCTTATGAACATGTCTGGGAATGCCTAGGTATATGTATATTAAAAAATGATAACCCTATTATGTTTCAAAGATAATAATTGTAAAAACTTATAAATATTATTTTAAAAAATGGACAAGCCAACTTACTCTCTTTCAGAGAGTAAAGTTTCTCTTTCGGCAATGTCATTGCTCAGAATTTTGTTTAATCTCATTCTCTCTTGTCATCACTCTCACTCTCTCTATGGCTCGGTCGCTGTGTTTAATCAATTTTGTTATGCGCCTTATTCGTATTCTAGCATTTGAAGCGTACGAACGTCGTTGTCGGTTTCGCGAAGGCTTGTTTGTTTGTTGCTGCAAGTAAAATCGTTTTACAAAATAGCTCAACAAATATAAAAAATAAATACATATACCTACATATATATGTACATTGCTTCAGGTTATCCGGAAATCATAATAATGGAAATCAAAAGCGAAGTCTACTATATAAGCAATGAAAAAAAGTGAGTAGATTCCAAGAAATCACAAATGCGTGTGCCGACAGACTATCATTTTATAGCATACAAACGTATATGTGTATGTGCCTCCGTGCGTGGTGTGTGTGTGTGAGGTGCAAAATAAAATTCACAAACGGTAAAATAAATGAATAAAATTGTGTACACAAAGTGAGCTGCAAAATTGCGGCGCAAAAACAAAGCGAGGGAATAAAATGAAAAGAGAGCAAAAAAAAATGTTTTTAATTTAGAGCTGCATCTAGAAAAGTGCGTCGTTTTTATTTTGAAATCGATACGAAAATAAAAATACACAAGTGGGCCTCGCGCAACATACAAACAAATATATCTACGAATTTCATACATATGCATTATTGTGTGCGTGTGCAAAGTGCAACATAAACAAACGAAAATGGTTTACAAGAATGCAAAAAAGGTATGATATGATATTTCTGGCTGTGTATACATACAAACCGACTTGAAAAATTACTACGCAGCAGAAATTTATGCGGTATTGTTGTTGTCGTTGTTGTTGTTTCATATCTATCATATCTTCTGTTTCGCCTTTGTCGCCGCCGTTGCCGCCGACGTTGTCTCGTTTTGTGAATGAGCAGCGCAGCGGCCTTTTCTAGTGTGCGTGTGTTTAAATGTGTGCGAGTAAAATAGCAAAACAAAAATCTCGCTCCGGCATTTCTCTCTCATGCTCTCAACGGTGCTTGTTATGCTCTTATTGCACGCTCATTCGTGTTCTCTATCGCTCAGTTGTGTGAGAGTGTTAGTACAGTAAGAAAAGCAAAAGTGTGAAGGCAACGCGTGAACCGCAATAACAATAACAGCAAGAGCAACAGCAACAATAAATTCGAATATGTCAACAGAAAGAAGAAGAAACTAGAATTGTATGTAAAACAGTATTGAAGTAGTAGTAGTAGTTGGAGAGTCTTCTGGGGATATTTGCTAATTAAAAGGCGTAACAGTAATTGGCTTATTACTCTGCGCTCGTTCTCATTCGCATATCTAGCATTGCCACTTGGAGGACGTTAAGACAGAATAGTTGTATTTGGCTCTTTCCTCTATTCTTCTTCAATGCATTTGTATGTGTATGTACATATGTATCTTAAAAACACCATAAAAATGCCATTGTATTAATCATAATATATTTTTGATGGCGACTGCGTAAGGAATGTTGCCGAACAGTTGAACATGCGTATTTTCTCGCTAAGGTTCTTTGTATATATGTGTGTTTTTTTGGTGTTTTTGCGTTCGTTTTCTGTGTAATTTATTTATTTTTAAATCTAGTTTTGCAAGTGTGTGTGAGTGTGTGTGACAAAAATAAGTTGCCGCAAAAACAAAATTGTTGAAAAACAACAGACCGAGACCAGCCAAGTTTTCTGTACAGCGAAACCGGAAATTGTTTATACGGCGTTGGCAGCGACGTCAACGCCAAACCGATCGCTAGTTTTTAATGACGTATGTGCGGCGGCCTACCCATACACCCATAATACACATATCAAATACATATAAGGTGGCAAGTCTTTTGGAAATTTTTTGGCGCATAATTTGGCCACACTAATTAGCAGTACGAAGAGGAACAATAACAACAAAAATAATGGTTTGACCACATGTCTAAACGGCGCGCGTGTGCAAGCACAAACAACAATAACAAGCAGAAGAGAAAAGAGAGCGAAATGAGCTGATGACCATGTGTGGTACGTTTGTGTGTGTGAGAAAGAGTGTGTGCATGCGTCTGTTTGTATTAGCTGAGCGAAACAAACTGGCAGGTGTCATTGACCCTTTTCGCAGTGACGGTAAAAGCACATTTTTTTTATTGTTATTGCCGTTGCTGTTATTTGCAGCTTTTTTTCGTTGCGTTTGTTAATATTGTTGTTGTTACTTATGCTACACATTGCGGCTGCTTGGCCTTGAACTTAGTCGTGTTTTCTAAAGCACATATTTGAGATCCAAGCTTTTTGACATGCTTTTGTTGACAGTTCTCTTTGGGAGACGCGCACAACCGAAAATGGTATCAATTACGCAATTTGCGTTGTTGCTTTTCTAAAAGCTTTACTATTTATATTGCTCGCTGTTATGTTGACAAATGTCAATGTATGTGTTGTTTTATTATTAATTTATTTACAATAACAATACATAGTTAGCTGTGTTTCAAAGTCGATATGTTTGTGTGTGTGTATCAACTGGTAAAGACACATTACATATATTGAGGTTAACACAAGAGGATTGAGGGCTGGCTGTCAGAATCATAACATTTTTTACACATGGCTTGATGAGCCAAATTACCAAATAAGTTAGTAAGAACAATGAATGGCGCAGTATTCGAAAGTTCCTAATTGAGAGATATCTAGAACCCTGCGGAGATTTGATATGCCAATAATTCATGCGTAGATAGGAATATATATTTAATATTTCAATGCTCTAGCTTTTGTGATTACAAGACTGGAGCCTTCACTCAGACGGGCATGGTTAGATCGACACAGTTTGTCTTTCTGCTCAGGAATATATTTGTATATTTTAGCCTCTTGCATATATTTTCACTAAGACAATTCGTCGTGAAATTTCATTTTCAATAGGTTGAGAGTGTCAAATTTGTAATGCAGTGTTACATATCACTAAAATTGCAAAAAAAAAAAAGAAACAAACTTAGGAATGGTATAAAGTGATGAGAAATGTAAGTAGTTTGCCCCTTTTGAAATATGTAATACGATTTTATCCTTTAAATGCATTTGCGTGATGGCTTCATTGCCCAAGTGGAATTTAAACATTAAAAAGCTAAAATGATCGTAAGAAGTGAGTGGCAGACAACACTCGCTCCCCTCTCCCAATTCAGCATCCGAAAACCACGTCATCGGCATTTCTGTCGTCAAACCCTGCGGGGCTGTCACACCTTGCGCTAACTTTGTCTTTGTCTAACTAACGTAGCTCAGTTCAAGCCAGTGCTGCCAGCCTTTTCGAACACATATTGTGAAAACCATAATTGTGATTATGATTGTGTTTGTGTACTGTGCGCACACACATTTCGTGTTTATGCGTAGGCGGTCACACAAATATTAATGTCTGTATCTGTGTGTATGTGTGGGTGTGTGAAATGTGTGTGTGCTTTTGTAGTGGAGTGTTTATTTACTTGGACCTTAGACTCTTGATAAGTGAGGCCTCTAGCTAGCGTTGGAGTCGGAGTGTGTGATGCGAATGAATCACTTGTAAGAACTGCGAAAGCTAATTAAACATAATAAACAGTTTTTGCACATAATTACTCCGAAACATTTGGTTTATTTAGTTGTGACTGCTTTGGTGTTGGATACAGCTTTAAAATATTGTGCTGTAGCTTGTCCTGCCCGAGGTGGCGTTACAATAACATAGCGGGCAATAACATCTTAACAGCCGCATACTGTTTTTACACTTCTGTTGATGCTTGTTGTCTTGGTCTGCACCCTTATACTTGCTTTATGTGCGTGTGTGCGTTTTCGGCATTCTGCTTTGCGCTGTTATTTGTTTTCCTTCTTTTGTTTTTTTTTGTCTTGTATTGACGTTCATTTATATATGTATATATATATAACGTCGCTCATAAACCAGCCGGTGTGCGTATGTGAGAACGTATGTGTGTGTGTGTGTTTTGTATTTGTGTGTGTGTGTGTCAGCTTGTACTTGTGTTGGCGCAATAAACAACACACGTGGTTGCATTTTTATTATTATTGTATTCAGAGAAGAGAGGGAGCTCTACTTCTCTGTTTACTGCACTCGGTCAATTTTTTTTTGAGCTTACAGTATATATGTGTTGGAGTGAATGAATATATATATATATATATATATATATATATATATGTGAATATATACATATATATATATATATATATATATATATGTATATTAAATACACACATATATAATATGTGTTTATGTGTGTATGGCACTCGGGACATTTAGTGCTATGCTGCCGCTGTAGGGTGGGCGGCTTTTTAACGGTGGCGCTGGCGTTTGCTGCTATTTATAGTAATTTTTATAAACATAAGGAAGATAAACCTAATGCCCCCTCTCATAAGTGTGCATAAGTGAGTGAGCGTGGGTATTTAGTGTTGCATATCTATTGCCCGAAATTAGGATTTTAGCTTGCGGCATTGACGTCTGTTCAGACTTAAATGTTGTTAGTTAATAAGTTTTCGTTTAGCTTTCGCTACCCCGTTTTTACGTTTGTTTTTTAGAACGACCTTTCAGTTACCTAATTTGGTATTGTTCTCATTGTTTTTATTTTAATATGATTGTATTCTTTTTGGAAATAAATTATTCATGACCTATTACTCATTTCTATATGTACC